CGTCGTGCACGATATACTAACACAATGCCAGCCGCTTATTAATTATTATTCTTATGAACTAGGTCATCGTGCCCATTGCCTCTACCCATCCAAGTAGCACCTGGGCACGTGAATGGGCTTTGGCAATAAACACGGAAGGGGTTAAACCTGAAAATCCTGATCTAGAAACATGATTAGTACATAAACATCTAACGGGCTAATATTTCACTATTTTAATAAAAGTGACTCGACTTTGTAAATATAAAGCTTTAAGAACAAATACTGAAAAGTAAAATAGAGCAACTATGACGCAAACATGGTACACTGCTAATATCAGCTGGCAACGAAGGGTCTCACGCCCCCTAGACTTACGCCAGACGCTACATACCACCCACCCCGCCTGGACGTCGTAACGCCAGGACAGAGTGCACCCCTTCGCTAAGAGCGCTACCCGCCCGTCCAACACGTTGCATCCAACGGTGTCAGATTGACGGACGCCCATAGTATAGACAAAAGGACTACAGTTTAGAATATGGTAACATATTTTCATATGTTCCCTATTCTAAAGCTGCGCCTGCAAAGGCCTAGTAATGCATGGGTATATCTCCCAGAGATGGTGTTCACGGTCTTATGCCGCGGAATCCTTGTAACTAATTTGATTAAATAAATAAAATAGTGGATTGAGTTTAAAAACCAAAAGGATTCCCACCGAATACTAGTCAGTGCATCGTCATATTTACTCCCGCGCTGGAAATTTTTCGCAACACTAACTTAAGAAATGCAAAATTCTAATAAAAAAGAATTTAATGTCTCTAATTAAGAATTCTTTGTAGTGAAAAAAGAATTTATTGTGAAAATTAATAAAACATCCTCGGGCGACTCCCTCCTCAGAGTGAATTTTCAAGAATACGCAAAATGTGTTGAAATAGATCACTCTGACTTGGAAATCTACCCGTCACGAATTGTCTTCTTGCACATAAATTGTTCATTTTTTCATGAACGTGTAAATAAGTTAAACTACTCGTAAAAAATTCTCAAATTATATTTAAATTTATTATGTACAAAATGTAATTAAATCAATGTAATAGCATCATTAATATGTATATCCAGTATACATATTACATAATACTATCAATATTATATTGCTTTGAACCTTCGCAATAACTAAGTCAGATAGTATTTGACTTCTCTATTACAGACAAACTAAATAAAATTGTTTCGGTATTCAAATATTTCATATTCCACATTTAAGAACATTTAAGAGCATTCATATATTTCATAAATATCTATTGGAATATGTGGAATTGAAATGATATTAAAACGCGGTGTGCAAGAAAACCTAGCCTGAACTAAATGAAATGAAACAATAAAAATGTTACTACTCATGGGTATAACCATACCCATGGTCACTATGCTCGCCAACCAAGTATACAACTAGTACCCGTGTCGATTCGGACCATTCGTCCTACGACATGATTGGGCACCAGAGGAACCATAAAACATGCGACTCACCGTTCGCAGATATACTCTTCTTCCGACAGTCAAACACCAGGTAGGAGGCTGCCTTGTAGGAGAAGACGGAAGTCGTGAAGAAATTCATCTGTAACAAAAAAAGAAGAAAATTATCAATTTTTATTCTAATAAAATTATATATGAAATTGAATTTTATAAAAAATTTGCAATTAAAAAGAAATCTCAATTATCAAGTACTGAAATTGTAAATTATTCTATTTTAATAAAAAGCAATTAAGTGACGTACCAAGACGGAAGTCGTGAAGAAAGCCATCCTCAGGATATCCAGGAACTCGGCAAATACAAAAAATTCATCTGTAACAAAAAAAGAAGAATTACGGTTAATTTTCAAATTATAAATTTTTATTCTAATAAAATTATATATCAAATTGAATTTTATAAAATATTAGCAATTAAGAAGAACTCTCAATGATCAAGTATTGAAATTGTAAATTATTCTATTTCAATTAAATAAAGTAATAAGATACTTACACTCTTTCCTTAAGGAGCAACGCCCAAGACTCCTCTTCAGTGGTGCATTGACTCTAATTCCGGGTATATCGAGCAATTAAAAAAAAAATTAAAAATAAAAATAGTAACGCGACCGTGAATAATTTCCGGCGAACAATTATAAAGACTCTACTTTCACGATGGAAAAAGAAAAATCAGAGCCGCGATGCTCTAGAAAATATTTTATAATACGTAGCAAACACTGACTCTACTTTCGCGTGATTCCTAACTATACAAACGCAACTCTATTCAGGGCCAGTTCACCCTTGAAAAAATCAAAACATTGGAAATATCTTCGTACAAACACTGACTCTACCGACCGCATTGCGCGCGGCCACAACAATTCCTGAAAGAAAAACTTAGTGAGCAGGGATGGGCTGGGTGGAAATATACAAAACAACATTCTTCTTATTGAGCATTCGTAATGAAAATACTGTTATTAATGGCTTGTAAATGAAAATATCTATGTTCATGAAATATATTCGACGAGCACATATATTGTTAAAGCTGAATATTGATCCTAGATTGAAATGAAATGTTTTAAATAATTGTTGATAATTATTTCAATGAGTATTACATCGATAGAAAATCATTTTGTAATAAAGATAATAGACTATTGTATTAAAGCAGAGGATTTTTGTTGTTAAGATTGTAAGCATACTACAAATTGTTAGAAATTCTATTACAGTATGATTTATAAATTATCTAATTCGTTTCAATAAGCAAAGTCCAATAATTAACCATGCTTAAACAGCATGTGATTTAAAAACGTGATTCTATTTTAATTTAATCTTGCATTGAAAACTGGATATTATAATATAATTACTATGATTTAACAAAAATAGATTGTTTAAAATAATTAATAATTGCAGAAGAGAAGTAATCATTTGCAGTAGAATACGAATTATTTCAATTTTGTTCTAGTTTAAAACAAATGTATTAAAATACTGGACGAAATTATTCAATAAAATGAAAAATTAATTATTCTTTTTCTATGAATTGGTTAAAGAAAAAACATGTCTCTAATCTTTTCTTTCTTGACTTTGGAAGCAAGTAATTATCAAAAATGTTTACAATTAACAACAACTATAAAAAAAAACAAGTAATAATAAGTGTTAATAATTGATTAGAATAAATTAAAACAATAAATTTTTACGAAATTCTACTTCAAACCCATATCAGATGTCACGGCGTCCTTTCAATATTCATCAAATATCTGTAACAAATAAGAAATACCAATTTATGTAAATAAAATTTAATCAACAATAATAAAATTATTACTAATAAATGATCGAACTATAATTTATACAAAATATTTTAATAGGTAAGATGCGAACCTACTAAATTATACGGAAGGATGCTCTCAACACGTCTTGTCACTTGGACGTTCGCGAGAGAAATGACGAGTCCTTCCTTCCTGCCGAAGACCGATCAGCACGATTCGGTATTATTCGGTATTGTTCGTCCCCAGCCGAACCGAAGCCGGTAGACGAACAGATCTCATAATATTACGATGCTCAAGAAAGAAGGTTATTAAATATCAAACAGTAAATTGTGTGAAAGAATATTAAAAACGTTCAATATTGGTTAGGAAATTAACGAAATAAAAGGGAAAATAATTCAAATTCTGCTGTTCCAACCTCATTGTACAATCGCGACAAGAGCACAAATTTTCAACTCTTGTAGTTTTGAAGAAAATGCCGAATTAATGTCAAAGATCAAGAATCTAGACTTCTCTTCGATGGCTTTTTCTGTTTTTTGTACTTTTAACACCCGATCGGCAATTTAATTTAATATTTGAAGATAATTTAATCTTACCTGTTGCAGACACGTGAAAGACGGACGAAGCTTCAGAGAGGACTGATGCACTGCGCCACAAATCAACGCACTCGCTCACACAACGACGTGTCTGATTGGTCGAAATGAGAGGACGCCAACATGGAACGACCAATCACAGCCATCGATAGAAGTTTCAAAGTACTTCGAAACTTTAATACTAATCATAAGGGAAAGGTTCGTTAAAAATTATCGACGCCATATTGAAATAAAATCAAGATTACTTTTTTCAACTTTAAACACCAAAATATAAGAAACAAAGTAGAAAAAATATAAGATATTGACGGGATTTAAGAAATTATTGATATAAAAGCAGAATAAATGAAGGAAATGTTATTTTAATTCGTATCTATATCGGCGTAATAGTAAAAAACGAGAAAATCAATTATCACGATATATAACAATAAATTACGGGAAAAATGTACTAAAAACATGAAAAAATGCAATAATATTCGAAAAATTATTGATATAAAGGGAATATAATTCAGATTCTGCTGTTCCAACTTCATCGTGAATTCACGGCAAGAGCAACAAATTTAACCTCACGTATTTTTAAAGATAACCTCGAATTAATGTCAAAAAACAAAGAGCTAGACTTCTCTTCGGCTATTCTTTCTGTTTTTCGTGGTTTCAACACCCGAAAGACAGTTTAATTTAATATTTGAAGATAATTTAATCTTACCTGTTGCAGACACGTGCAAGACGAACGAAGCTTCGAAGAGGAATGCTGTACTGCGTCACAAATCGACGCACTCGCTCACATAGCGACGTGTCTGATTGGTCGAAATGAAAGGATACCGAATGAAACAACCAATCACAGCCATTGGTAGAAGTTTCGAAACTGTAATGCTAATCATAATGGAATCGTTCATACAATAAATATCAGCGAAAAAATCGAATAATGTACTTTTTTTAGCAACACCCGTCTTGTATTATATTTTATATTATTGTAATTATGTAATGAATAAAGGGGAATATTGCTTTAATAACACTTTCCTATGACGTGATTTTGATACGAAATATTTAAGAACATATTATTTCAGATATAAATTTTGATGCTTATGTGCAATGTATGCATAAGCGAAATGTTAATATGTCCAAAAATTATAATCAAACTAAATTTGTGGTCTGTTTTACCTTTTTGACGTCTTTCGCGAGTGAAAAATCAACGAAATCGTAGAACACACTATTTTTCTAAACGAAAGCTTGTACACCATCCCCTGAGTGCTCGTTTTGCTCTATCCGATCCAAAGAATGGCGTGCTAGTCTCTATTTGGACATTCGATTCGTAAAAATATTTATATTACGAATAAATTAATGCAGGTGAGTCCGATCCGCCATTTTCTTGACCGTGGACAAACAGCAATTTCAATATTTTATAACTTTTTGACGATTTGGGTAAAATACGGACCAGCACGCCATTCTTTAGGGCCTCCTGAACACGTCCCTCAAATTTCTTTGCAATCTGTTCAGCAGGAACGAAAAATGATGTGTTCTACGTTGTAGGGATTTTTCTAGGGACTGTCGGTAAAGTTTTCAACGCTAGCATCAACGAAACATCTTTTTCGTACATACAAATACGATAATTTTATGAGAAAAATACAAGAATAAAGTTATACTTAAGATGCGTCTTACAAGTATATTGCTTTACAAAGTTCATAATATTCCATATCGATTCCGAGGGTACGTATGAATAATTTTTGCATTCTATTGAAATTAAGAGGTTAACTTCAGTCTTTTAATACTTATACTTTTATAACTAACGGTGCAACGATCGATTAGTTAAAGCAATGTTGTTATTGTAAAAAGATTTTTATTTCTGAAGACTTTTGTTCTTATTTTCGTGAATTCAAATGATATCACAGAATTATAAACAACACGATTGATATGCACGTATCGTATTCACTACAGAAAGCATGGGAAAATTAAAAAGCCTACTTTTAAGGATATAATGCTATTTAAACAAGATATTGAGAGAGAAGAACAAAATATGTTGTTACTAAGACATCCGTATTTAACTAGCGAACAGACCCATGGTCATATGAAAGAAGTTATATTACAAAAAAGGATTGATTTCATAACTGAAAAGCGTGAAGAGCTAAATCAAAAGTTTAACAGAGAAATTACAATCGCAGATCGATTAAACCATTTGAAAGTACGGGAAGCCTGGGATTAAGGTTTTCATTATAGTTGCAATAATAGGTTTTATTAAAATTGATTAATATGATTAATATTGTAGTCTCTTGTTGTAAAAGTTCCAAAAGATAAATAAGAAACTGTATTTGTCTATCATTCATGTTAATCAAAGTTTCAATATATAGCAGACATTTTTTTTATTTATTGCACATGTGAAGTTATATGAAAATATAATAAAAATATAATTGTAATATCAAAATAATAAAGCCGAGACTGATAAATGCTTTGTTTCCTTAAACACTTTCAACTTGTAGACTTGTTGTAGATTCAATTTGAAAACGATTTAACAGATCTTTTGGTTTGTTTTTGATCCAACTAAGTGGATTTTTCATAATTTCACCTTCCGTCAACGACTTTCCTTCATGAAGCAAATTTGCATAATATGCTACAATAGGATCTGCTCCAGTACTACTCATTGCGATAATCTTATTATCCTTAATGTAATATGCAAAAAATTCCAAATTCTCCAGAGAACCATAAATTTTGATTTTATCTGGCTTTCCATATCCTAAATTCATAATATTAATGAATATGCGACTCGTGACCCCTATAGAAAAGGGAGAAAACGTACCTGCGTATCTATAACTTCGCCCGAAAAGCGTTGTCCAGAAAAATGGTATGGCATTTAATGCTGTATTTTTACCACATATATTTAATGCTGCTATTTTTCCATGATAATGTGCCAATGAATAATGACCTATTGCTGCTAAATAATCATCCGAACCAAATAATGGTGCATTCGCTATGTCACCACCAGCGTATATGTTTTCCACGTTTGTTTTTAAGTACTAGAATCGTACACTTAATATTACTTTCTTAAACTTAACATTTGCGCTGCTTATCATTGCGCACTACATCAAAGAAATTTAGGAAAGACTACTTTACGCGATACCGTACATACATACCTTATCTACTTTTATGCTTCCATCTTGTAACATTTCAACAGGGGATTCTTTTATCCAATCTGTATAAAATGTAGAACCAATTCCAATGATGACTACATCGGCAGGAAGGGCAGTGCCATCGGTAAGTATCGCTGTACCTACAGTATCTGCTGCTTTCTCTTTCGCAACAAATCGTTCGATGTTGCTATTAAATATAAATTTAACACCTTCAACGAAAGATTTCATTATTTTCGATTCAATTTGCTACTACTCTCGATCTTGTAATTCGATAATACCTTTATTCTCAAATTCTTGTTTGATTCTGTTGCCAATCTCTGATCCAAAAATTGGTTCTAAAGGTATTGTGCTTCTTCCTACAATGGTAACTGACGCACATTTATCTATAGAGTAAGCAGCAGCTTCCATACCAATGAAGCCTAATCCAAGTATCACAACATGTTTATCAGGTAACAGCTTGGAATGTACAGCCTGAGAATCCGTGAAATTTCTCAACACATAGATGTTGGATAAATTAATACCAGGTGTATCAGGTAACCTGGGCTTACTTCCAGTACAAACAAATAAATAATTATATGTTAATTTTTCATTATTACTCAAATGAACAATGTTTTCATTTGTGTTTAGCCCTGTAATAAATTACGCGATAAAATTTAATTCAATGATATAACAAAAGATAACAATTTGCAATTACCTGTGGCCTCTATGCCCAGTTTTACTTGAATGTTGTGATCATTATAAAATGATCGTGGTCTTAAAGCTGCTTTTTCAACATCAAAATCCAAAACTTTGGATACCTTCACTCTGTCATAAGGAACTGCATTTTCTTTACAAATCATAATAATATTTCCTGTAAAATCTTCTTGGCGTAAGCTTTCGGCACAAGTTGCCGCTGCGGGTCCACCTCCGACTATTACAACGGTAGTTTGATTATTAGAATCTTGTTCACACATCTTTTTTACACGTCTATTGAGTTCCAAGTCTTTACGTCTTGCTTTTACACGTACAAGTCCACTATCATCTACATTCACCTATTTAATTGAATCAAATGTTGTGATTATGCAATACCAAGTACTGTTTTGTATCAAACCCATTGTTAAAATACCTGATAACAAGGCAAAGAATCCAATCCTGGATAGTCTTCTATATCTCCTGTTTTAATATTAAAACAGGCACCATGCCATGGACATCTTATTTTTCCATCTCCTAATGCTCCTGTGTGAAGCAAAGCTCCATAATGGGTACATTTTGTACCAATAGCATGTAGCTCTCCTTTTTGTTTAATTAATAATACCTTTCCTCCACTTTCTCCAAGCGGTACTAATTTCATTTCATTTTCTTTGATATCCGTTTCCTTGCATACCACATCTTCGATGTAATCATATTTTGCTGGTTTACCTACACAAATGTAAATTACTCAGATTACATTTCAATATTTAATTCAAATAATTTTAGTATAACTTAAATGTTACAGGTTCCATGTTATTTACAAAATCTATAAAAAATTCCTGAAATATGTTTTTCAGGAAAAAAATTATCTAGGAAAGTACTAGATACATAATAATAATCATATTGTGCAGTAAATCAGATCGCTGGTACGTGCTAATGGAAAGCTATTGACTCACAACTACAACAACATTTGGAACTATTATATTTTCGTCTAATATCTTCCTTTTGTTTGTTACACTCACTGCAAGTATGAATCTTCTTTTCAGATTTTAATTGTGACATTCTCTCGCCGTATATCTTTAAATGAATATTAATAATTGTATTATAAGTATGACGAGTAAATTGTCTTACAACGTATAAATACATCTTGTTTATTTAATTATTACGGGTACTCATTTTGTTACTTGACATTTTAATAACTATTCATTATCATAATCATTATCAATATTATTATTACTAAAAGGACCTCATTCTGAAACTTTTTCAATAATCGCTCTGATATTGCTACATATGAAGGTTACGAATACATACGTACATGCGTAAAGATATTTTATGTAAAGAATCTAATTAAACGTTTATATTTCCTCATAAATCTTACTCGGCTATATTTGCTACATATGTGGATAAAGAAAACACATGCATTATCAGATAAAACGTAAATATAAAAGAAACATTGGTTTCCACATATCACGTGATACTGCACATACAATCAAAGAATGTAAAAATCGATCGGGGAAACACCTATGTACCATATATGAAAAGAAGATCGACGCAGTTTTTTTTGTAACAATTTTATATTTAAACGTTTATACGTATAAGTTAATATTATAATATTTTAGTTTACTGAAACGAATTTGTATAGAAAATTTTGTACTTTCCTTATCTTTTAATACAATATTGAGTATAAGAACTTGAACGTTATCGATATATTTTTAATCGTATATTTGTATTACAAGATAATATTACATACAATTATTAACACATAATTTTAAAGGAGAAAAAAATATAATTCGCACCTGCGTTCAACGATTTTCCTGGTGTGATTTTAGAACTTCCTGGAAGAAGTCCTTTACAATTATTTGCACCCATTTTTATGTTCAAGCAATGTTACTTACGGGTGATACTCCAAATGTATTGTATCACGATATCTATGAATCAACTTGCTACCTTGATTTCTACAAACACTTACAATTACATCTCTAAAGATTGTTTAAGCTTTGACAAGTAACCTTGAATTGCTTGTAGCAAAATGATTTGAACTTTCACTTTTTTTAAATAAAATAGTTATCATGATTTTACTATCTATTAGTTAACATTTACTTAAATAATTACTTTAAAATATTAAATTCCATGAAGTTAATCGATCTCTATAAAGATCTATTTCAAATCAAATATCATTAATACTTTGTTTTTCAAACTAACTCTGATGTGATTCAAATGAAACCATATTTTGTTATTAATTATATTTTAAATAATTAATCAAAAAAAATTTGATAATTGCACAATATCATACTACACGCATTATATGTATGATCAATCACTGTTCCAAATTATCTATAAAAATAGCACCGTATAAATCTATTCATTGATCTTGACAGATGAAACTGTAGATTTAAAAGAGTTTTAAATATTTTATTTGATATAATTTACAAAGCATTAATTGCTACAATAAAAAACTACAGCCATTTTTCAATTCATGTAACTCACTCGTAATTATAATTACAACTTGTTGCTACAACAATTCAAATTGTACAAGCAATACTTTAAACGAAGAATTAAAATTGATTCCATATGCAACGATAATATATACACTTGAGTAAATTGCACAACGTAGATGGCGCTTCAATTATTAATAACAATAATATGTTTTATTAACGTTGTTTTCTCAACATTATATGGCTATGCAGTGCAATTTTCATTTAATAATGTATTTTCTGCATTTTTGTTAGTTTCAAAAATCATTGAAAGCAATAATTAATGGTTTGTCCCTACATAAAAACGTACCTTGAACTGATGTTCGTTTGTTTTGTGTATTGAAATAGTCAGATTGTTTTATAGTCTACAAAAGAATCCTATTTGTAAAGCAATGTTTAAATAAAGATTAACATTATTTGTATATATATGTCATCTGTAATTAATAAACTTGGAATTACTGTATTATAACCGGTTATGATTAAGAAAATTCCGAAATGATTTCCAAAACTGTGTGCATTACACAGGAAGGTCCAGCAAATGCATTAGCACTTAACAAAGATAATAGTCAAGTTGTTATAGCTGGACGTAATGGTAAATTACTTGTTTATATAAAATTAATTTTTTACATGTATAATATTAACGTGTAATCGATGATTATTAATTAATTTGTTATTTTGGATTATAGTTTTCAAAATATTTACATTGTTAGAAGATAGATTTGAAGAAGCTTGTAATTTGCGAGTTGGAAAGAATTTGAATTTAAATTTTTCTTGCAACGATGTTGCTTGGAATCTCATTGATGGTAAATTTTATGATTTTAATTTTTATAATTAGACAATATAATTAAGTAGGTAAAAGTTATACTGGTATGCTATGGATTTGGGAATGATTCATAATATTTGTATTCTTTAGATCATATATTAGCAACAGCTGCTACAAATGGTGCAGTAGTAGTTTGGAATTTGAATAAGGCATCTAGGTCCAAGCAAGAACATGTTTTTATTGATCACAAAAGAACAGTAAACAAAGTAAGTTTTCATATGACAGAACCTATGTGGCTAATATCTGGTTCTCAAGATGGTACTATGAAATGTTTTGATTTAAGAATAAAAGAAGCCACTAGAACTTTTTATAGGTAAGCATTTTGAATCATTTTATTGAATGTTTCTTTGTTAAGACAGATTGAGAAATTTTGTTAATTCCAGTAACACAGAATCGGTACGCGATGTACAGTTCTGTCCACATTCACCGCATACTTTTGCTGCTGTTTCTGAAAATGGCCATGTACAACAATGGGACTTACGTAAACCAGAGAGATACTTTCAACATTTCACTGCTCATAGTGGTCCCATATTTGCTTGTGATTGGCATCCTGAAACTACCTGGCTTGCAACTGCTTCCAGAGATAAAACTATTAAGGTTTAATCATTATTTTATATTTCAAAAGTTCATGAACAGATGATACTTTGAATGAAACAGGTGAATGCAGTTTTTTATAATACATAGGTTTGGGACTTATTAGGTAAGCCTAGTTGCGATTACGTTATACATACGATAGCATCGGTAGGTCGAATTAAATGGAGACCGCAAAGAAAGTACCATATATCCAGCTGTGCTCTTGTCGTGGATTGCAGTATAAATGTATGGGATATCCGCAGACCGTATATACCTTTTGCAAGTTTTAATGAACACAAAGATGTTCCAACTGGTGTAGCATGGAGAGGCAGTCCTCACTCCTTCTTATCGACTAGCAGGGTAATATGGTGTAATAGATCTTTGTTCGATATGAAACGGTGTTTCTGTCATTGTGAAACATTAATGAAAAATTATTGATGCAGGATTGTACATTATATCATCACGTGTTCAAAGATGCTACTAGACCAGCAAGTAAAGCAAATCCACAAGGTATTGCATTGAATCCAAAAGGAGATATCGCGTACGCGTGTAAAGTAAATGTTCATGTTCAAACAACGATGAAACAATTGACTAACATAATGAGGTTAATAAACTTGCTATATAAACAGGAAAAATTGTGTTAGAGATATCAAACTAAAACATTGAAATTTAGTCGACGATTATTTATAGGAAAACACCAGCGACAAACGATACTTTTTGTATAGCATCGAGTGTTATGCATAGATTTTCCATAAACATGCCACGAGAACCAAAGTGGTTTAAAGCTTGCGCTGAGGGTTACTTACTTTCTGGAAGATTAAATGACATTTGTGATCATAATGCTACTGTTGCTAGAAATGCCGGTAGAAATGATGTAAATGGGTTTTCAATTTTCTTATACGTTTATAGCTGTTCAAATTGTCACTAATAGAAATATAATTTTAACTAGATTAGTACAGTATGGAGTATCATAAAAACTTTGTATGCGAATCCTATGGGTTCTATTTTAAAAACACCCCCAACTGCTTCCAAAGAAGATATAGTGAATACATTAAATTTAGCACAGATCACAATAGCACCCGGTATGGATCAGTCAAGCGCAGGTAAACGAAATAATATCGTTTGAAGTATCGAGAGTAACTCTTCAATACGATATAAATTTAACGAACTGTTTAATGATTTTCACGTTATTATTTTTCTTCCAAGGTCACGAAAACGATGTAAAATCCTTACAAGGAGAAGTAACCGGTGCAACTAGCGGAGGCGATGATGAGACCGAGACGGACGAAACACCGGAAAATCAACATTCTATAGGGTCAATGTTACCTAGGTACTGTTGTAACTAACTTAGCAATGTAGCATGTTGAACATATTTGATGGTATTCACATTATTGTTTTCGTGAAAAATATCCAGTTACAAACGAGCATTTATTGATCACAAAGGACCGTCTAAGGGTGACTTTTTATTTGGAGAAAGCGAATTCGAACCGATGACAATGGAATACACTTCTAGTTATATGCATAATATAATGGCCAATGATAACGATTGGACGTTATCTAAGGAAGCTTTTCCATTGCGACACGAAATAAAAGATAGATCTCCACCGCCAGAACAATTCCCTAATCATCCACCGGATATTAACGAAGATTGCGCTTCGTTAATGATCGAGGATCAACCAAGCCAATTAATTGTTTCGAATATCCCTAAACCACAATTTTGGGATCCTACGAACTTAATTGAAGAAGCTTTAAAACACCACGCGGCTCTCAGGGATATACAGACTTCTGCATCGATTCTAATCGCGCTAGGAGAGAAACGAAAAGGTTTGAATATTGAAACTGCTGTCCAAGAACATTGGATACTGGAGTATTTAGATATGCTTGCGAGGTTTAAGCTGTGGAACGTTGCTACACAGGTTAGCGCGATGAAGCTTTAATTAATTATACATACACTTATTTTTCACAATGATAGACATTCTTGTATATCGACAGATAATTCAGTCGGTCTGGATTCCATCTGTATCACAGTTGAATCAGCAATCGACGGTAATACACGCTTGTTGTTTAACTTGTACAAAGCCATTGCAAAGGGCAGCGTGGTTCTGTGATCGATGTCATTCCTCTCACCACGCACTCTGTTCTGTTTGCCATCAGGTGAGACATACGAGGATATTTGGTTTTTGTATTTTCTTTTTACACCTGATCATCGTATTTTGCTTTTGGTTACAGGTTGTTCGAGGGATATACGTGTGGTGTCAAGGATGTACGCACGGAGGTCATGTTGTTCACATGAACGAGTGGTTTAGCTGTAATCGACAATGCCCAACGGGTTGTGGTCACATGTGCGAGTATACTTAAAAATTTATGGCAAAGAACACGATGTTTTACTGTTTTGAGCTTCGCTCGTATTTCTCAAGGTTTGTAAAATTTATGACTGTAGAAACTTGATTTATGAGTGACCGAATCAGAAGGGAGATTAAATTATTTATTGACTATATTTTTGTAATTTATAGAGTAAGACCTGTAATTCTAAGGTATTACATGTTTTCTTCTTGCAGTACAAATTTTACAAAAATATATGTAAACATTAGCAAACAGTGTAGTTATTCTTAAGAGTCAGTAACAAAAGACGTACGCAGATCGACGTTATATCACCTCCGTTTCTCGGTTGTAATGTACTGAGAAAGTTTTCAAAAACTATTAAAATGTACGAATACTTATCACAGGAAGGATCGAAAAAAGTTAATAGAAAAATTGTTTAACTATTCTTCTTATTAAGTTTGACTATCACACTCTTAACCTCGGTATACGCTCGAAGACCGTATTCACCGAGTTCTCTTCCGAGTCCCGACATCTTGTAACCACCAAATGGCACTTGAGGCGTTAAAACGTTGTATGTGTTAACCCTGGAACATGTTACAAAAGGTAAAAGAATATAAATAATCGTTACAAATTTAAGAATTCATTTCTCGAATGTATCGTACCATACGGTGCCTGCGTGGAGTCCTTGAACCACGTAATTTGCCTTATCAATGTCTTTTGTGAAAACCGCAGCGGCTAATCCATAATCGGTAGAGTTGGCGCGGTTAATAACTTCGTTTAAGCTGCTGAATTTCAGGATCTGTTGCACCGGTCCAAAGATCTGTAATAGAAATCATAATAACTTCCTGTTTACAGTGGTTGGGGCAGCCATGAAATTTCTAAAGGATTCATTTGTATTCACCTCTTCTTTGGCAATGGTCATATTATCAGTAACATTGGCGAATACCGTAGGCGCTACGAAGTAACCTTTATCACCGACTCGTTCACCACCGGAAACTAATTTTGCTCCTTCTTTCTGGCCACTTTGTATCATGGACATAATTTTTTTTGTTTGCTCATCGTCGATCTGTTACAGTGAATGGAGTGTGTTAACGATAGAATTATAATCGTTTAAAACGAGCAACTAGATGTACAATACCTGTGGACCTTGCTCTACGTTTGGATCGAATGGATCACCGACGACCCTGGATTTAGCACGCGCAGCGCTTCTTTCTACAAACTCGTCGTAGATGCTATCTTCAACGAAAGTTCTAGAACCAGCGCAACAGCACTGACCCTAAAGCAAAACCATTAGAAAATGTTAGAGAATGTACGATATCAAAGATTGTAAGTCATTACCATATTATAGAATAGACCAAAGTGAGCCGTTTCCACGGCATGGTCCATATCAGCGTCCGCGAAGATGATGTTTGGAGATTTTCCACCAAGTTCTAACGTGGTTCTCTTCAGATTATCGATTGAATTTCTCTGTATGATTTTGCCGACTTCGGTTGAGCCGGTGAATGCAATTTTATTCACTAAATTGTGAGCGACTAGAGCAGCTCCGGCTTTGCCGTAACCGGGTACAACGTTCACCACTCCGTCAGGAAATCCAGCTTCCTTGGTTAGCTGAGCCACGTACAAAGCCGTTAAAGGTGTTTGTTCCGCTGGCTTCAAAACGATAACGTTTCCTACAACACATTGGTAATAAATTAAAACGAATTCAAATGTTATCCGCGTTTATCATTCATTTATGAATATTAATGGGAGCAGGTTTACTAAAAGTTTATGAAACTATTAGATCATACGAAAGGCAAATAAGCATTGATAATTGAATTATCATTTATGCACAGGTCAATGAATTGGTTATTAATTAGAACGCACCGGTAGCTAAAGCGGGCCCTAACTTCCAAGCCATCATTAGGAGTGGAAAATTCCATGGTATAATTTGTCCACAAACGCCAACTGGTTCGTGACGAGTATAGGCATGGTATGGTCCATCTATGGGGATCACTTGTCCACCACCTTTATCTGCCCATCCAGCGTAATACCTCAGAGTAGATATGCTCGAGGCTACATCGAATCCGTATGCGGCGGAATAGGGTTTTCCATTGTCCAACGTTTCTAATGACTGAACGTGCAATAAATCTCTGATTATCTTGAAAGTTATCGCGATTGTTAGAAAAGGAGGAAAAAACACGGTTGTTTTCTTACCGCAAGATAAGTGCGATCACGTTCCATTAGGTCGGCCAATTTGTTCAAGAGCACACCACGCTGAGAAGCATCCATGGTTCTCCATGGCGAATCCAATTTAAAAGCATTTGCTGCTGCCTTTACCGCTACATCGATATCCGCTGCGTCACCTTCTTGCACTTCCGCTATCGTTTCAGTGGTCGCAGGATTTACCGTGGGGAACGTTTTTCCCGACTTTGATCGGTGCCATTCGTTATCAATGAAAATCTGAAATGTTTGTTCAAAACTTAAGCTCATGCATAATGAAATTTCCTGCTAATCCCGGCCATCTGCGACCGGTATTATGTAAAAGAATGTAAATAATACGTGTATAGAAGTTGATATACTAAAGTAGATAACGACAGAGAAGGTTGTAGCGATAGCCTTTCTCTGTTAATAATATATACAAGATAAGACAATATTTCTTGATGCGAAAATAGAAAAGATAACTTAAATTCTATAAAAATTGCAGCACAGGTAATTAATTATTAATAAATGCAATGATTATGGCTCAATTGTAATTGTTATTCAAAAAGAGACAAATTATTATTAAAAAGAAAAAATAAAAAAAATTTGGGAACTATGGTCTTGACTCGTGGACAATTAGATTGCGAGTTAAGCGTTTTACCATGGAGCTAACCATTTGTGTGTGTTAGTTTGTCATACTTCTCAATGTAAGGAGTAACTAGCTTTAATTGTTAATATCTTTTAAACAATTAGCCGTCTGCCCCCAAAATGGGGTATAGGCGTGTTCAGGACGACGAGCTCTACAAGGTGACAAAGTTTCATTAATAAGTGAGCGTAACACTTGGGTAGTTCCCCTCGTCAGTGTATGTACATATTCCTTGTTCGATTCGAACAAACACGTATGGTAAAAAGAAGAATAGGGAGTTAAAAAATCTTTCTTCAATATCGGAACTTTCTTGTGCTTTCTGGTGCTTAGTTTCAATCAGCTCGAAGAATAATTCCATTTATCTGTGTTTCATATTTATAGGAAAGTATCGCTTACCCCGGTATATAAAATCGATGGATTTTTGTCGGGCTGCACTTTAGCCGCGGTGGAGTAGTACCGTGGCAACTGTACTTTTCGGAACAATCGCAACATTGTTATTCTTTAATTAGATATTACTTTACCAACAAGTCGTACCATACAGTTGTGTCGCGCACGTTAGCCGAAACATTACTGCTTCTTTATCTGGCTTGATGAACATCACCGGTTGGTCGTCGGTAATCTTGAACAGCGGCTCTACGTGCTCATGCGCGACAATTCACACATATGCACACTCCGTGACATACGTGTGCCTTAATCTCTCATAACGAACATACTGATACGGTTATAAATAAGAATTTAAGAGAAAGGAAAATATACGTATGTAACATTGTACCAAAGTGATTAAACTGGTTTCGACCCACGTAGATTTGATCCCACTCCGTGTATTGCGTAGAACGTAACGTGGGTGATACATATATGTACACGAAGCGTACATATGTGTTTGGGAAACCGCACGTATATGTAGATAAAGAAGCGTCGAGGAAGACGATCTTTTGATACAAACGCTCTCGCATTTCGACTTCGATATTCGAGAGTTTAACACGTGGTGGCGGGATATCTCTTGTCCTCGTTAAACAAGGAATCCAGCTATTAGTATCAAATCGTTAATTTATTAAACTCTATTAACTTTACATTAACAGGAAATCGTGTTGTACTGCGTCGAACGTAGAACGAACATCAAATCTTACAATTACAATGGTTTTGTAATTGTTTGGAAAATGCAACTGTACCTCTTTGTACCCTTTACGATAGCGTGTACGTACGTTTCTGACCCCCTTTTCGTTAATTCAAATGAATCCATTTGTAATTTTGCGACTGGCTATACAATTACATTGGCGAACATAATTTCAATGGATAGGTAATCTCAGGCCTGCCGTTTAAAGCAACCGGCGAGCGCGTGTAATCGTTTCCGAGAAATGTTCACAATTGTAACGACGTTACGAGCAGTGAGATCTTTACGTTTAAAATGGTAAAGAGTTAGAAATGGTAAAACGAATGAACCAACTTTATTGATAAAATTTAATATAATTGACCTGTTAGTATCGACCCTTAGTTGTTATAAATTATAGAAATTTGTCAAGGTTCGTGTGAAATTTCTTTTTTTTTTTCGTGCTTCACGAGGCTCGCGAACGACTAACTATTAATAACACGCATACGTGTACGATACACGGATACAAAGACAAGTATTGCTTCGGAAATACAAAACGAAGGGAATACCAGTGCGATGCCGTGAACGATCCGTCCTGATCGTTTGACGAGAAAACAACGGGTAAATTCATATTTTTTTTTTTTTTTTTTTTTACACGACAAACGCCTATTTTTTTTTTTACCTGTAAACATGACATTTATTTCGAGAGTTATGTATGTACAAGACTCGCGTAACCACACAATTAAAGATCCTGTAACGAGCATTAGGCTCTCAGATAGTAGTACGCTTTTTCTAAACATCCGGACGCCTTTTCGACCTCGTAGTATTAATCGTAGGCTTCTCGATCGTCGTTAGAAAATGAAAATGCACACACGAAACGAAATGGATTGCAATATTTTTTATCGATTCTCTTCGCTAGACATGCAATTCACATTGAAAATTTTCATCGCAGATCCATCACGATCAGATCGAAACAGATACTTACTTACACGGTTAACAAAGAGAAGCCGGCCATTTACGGTGAAAAAAGCGAGTATAGTTTTAGGCGATAGGAAGGGAATCGTTTGAAAAATCACCTTTATTTCCGCTTCACTTTTCGAACTGTCTCGAAGAACGATTACGATCCTTTTTAACTGATCAGGGAATATGAAAAACAAAAGAAAAATAAACAAAACGTTTCAATCTTTGAATTGTGCATCTATGCTTCGAATTGCTAAACAGCGATCGTACGAATATTTTATAGGCTATAAAATTATTTAAAAGGATGTTTACGCTTATAGTGACAGAGAATTACATTAGATGCGTACGCTATACACCTTCCTAAGTTTGCTTTCGATACAGACTATCTTTTCGTCGAGTTTCTTTTGTGGGATCGATGCAACGTTTCTCTTCTCGTTTCCATTATTTATTATATAAAAAAACAAAAAACAGAAGTCAATTGTTGTTTCATTCACGATCGAGCGAGGAACGAGAGAAAAGAAAATGGCGAAAGTTTGAAAGAAAAAGTAAAAACGGTATTTCGTCGGAAACGTATAATCGTTTTCGAGTAGAATAACGTTCGTTAGTAGTTTCAGCAACGACAAGACGTTGAATGTTTCGGGAGCAAAGGAAAACTCTCGAGTATCTCACGAGGCCGGCATCCTCGTTCAGTCTCGTATGTATCTCTTTTCGTACGTACGAGCACGTGTTAGATTAAAAGTTCGATTATATAAAAAATGTTCTGTTTATTTCCAAGAGATCTCGTTGGAAAGTTTCCTGGTACGTGTGGAAATCCGTTTGTATACGATGTCTAGGTGGGAAAGGGGAAGAGGAAACTGTTCGCGGTTTACAAACGAAGGAGCGTATCGCTATACGATCAGGATAATCGATAAAAGAAACGAGGAGCAAAGAAAAATAGGAAAAGGAAAAGGAAAAGGAAAAGGAAAAGGAGAAGGAAAGGTAATTGTAAACGGTTGAATCCGTTCCACGAGAGACGGTTAGAGCCCGGTAGAGAGAAAGAGAGAGAACGGTTCGTTTATTCGCGTGAAATTGAAAACTAATTGCCGGAAGATCGTTAAAGATATTCAACGATGTCGCATTTTATCGATATATTCGGACAGCTGGCTACGCTGGCACCGTATCCGCCCCTCGACGTGCTCTTGTGCCTCTCGGTCAGCAGTTTCTGAAATATCGGCAGGATCGCTAGATCCAGCAATTCACCGTCCGACACGGCACTGTACATCTTGGATACGTTCACCGTCGAACCGCCGACCACGTCCGAGCTGGTTGCCACGGAACCCCCGACACCGCCGCCGTTCGCTTTTCCACCCCCAATTCCGCCACCACCGACGCCACCGCCTCCGCCCCGTGGATTCGCGCTCGCGAATTTGCTATTGTGAATTGTGGCCACGTTCGGGGTGCTCTGCACGTACTCTAACCGGGCCTGTTGCCGAAGCTTCGATTCGGTGTGCCTGCACTCCCGTATTCGACGTGCGGCGCGATGAGGGCACTCGATCACCGGGTGTCCCTCGCTTCGCAGACGGAGACACTTTTCCCTCGATCGTTCCGACACTGATCGCTGAATGATCGTCGACATGGATTCCTCGTACTTTTCTGTAAACACGTCGATCAATATTTAGAAGCGTACGTCCTCTTAAATCCTCGGCATTTAATACTCACCGGTGTCGGAGCAACTGGCGTTCACCATCGCCGGTACGCTCGGAGAACTGGCGTTCTGAGAATCGTAGTGTTTCTTCTGTCTCCTCGAGGGTGGCGGCGTCTCGGCCGAGCCGTTGAACATGGCGTGAGAATGCCCTCGTCCACCGTGTTTCTCGCACCGATAACCGGCACCGGTCAACAACGCGAGTCTGTGACCGCAACCACCGATCACGTACGACTTGTCGAAGGAACCGAGAGAGATCTCCGTCGCCTCGGACTTGGACACGTTCTCCGTGGAAATGTAACTGATGGAATTGACCGGCACGCTGGTTCTTCGACTTTGGAACAGCTCGTGATGAGAGTGAGCCATTCCGTTGTTCTTCACGGATGATCTTCTTTTCAGCGATTGATGAGAGGAGGCGTTCGCTGTAACTGATTCGACGAACGAGATTGACCGGGAATTCGGACCGAGAAATCGAGGGAAGATCGATAAGATGGAGGGAACGACTCACCGGCATGCCGATGCTTGGGCACGAATTGCAACGGGGGCGGTAAAATCGCTTGCTCGAGGTAGTTTTGCTCGTGAAGTTCGCCGAACGAGACGTTCTTCGCTGGCGGTGGTGTCGGAAGTCTGGACCTACGATCGTCTTTGCATCTGATCGGTTTACCGTGGCGTGGGATTTCCGTCTCTTCGAGGACAACAGCGTCGCCCTCCTCGACGATCTCCGGGACGAACTCGACGTTCGTTTTGCCGTCTGGTCGCGAGTCTGGGCTTCTCTCGATAAGAGGTTCGCTCTCCTTTCCGGAAGCGCCGGAACGGCTTCTTCTTCGACCCGAATCGTCCGTCGCGTGCTTGAGAACCGGCTGCGGTACCGATAAGTTCTCCTCCTTTCCTCCGTCCGTCTGCGGGACCAATGGGACTCGTTCGCTGTCGATCGCGATCGCCGGCACCTTCGAGAAGGACGTCTTCTTTCTGAGAAACAACGCGAACGAGTAAGTACTTGAGATGGTGGTGGTGGTCGTGGGTAGTTCTCGCACGTACTTGGCGACGTGCGGCTCGCTGGTTGTCGTGGCCGTGGCCGTGGTCACGGTCGTGGTCGCTGTTGTGGTTGTGTTCGCGTAGTCGCCTTCCGGTTGAGAGATAGTAGTTGAATTGAGACTGCACATCGACATTGAGATATCCGTTGTTTCCGTGGTCACGGACAGACCTGCGATAAATACGTGAAAGCAACGATCGTTGACTGGATCGGTACCTATACTTATTTTATCTACTTCGATTTTACGCTCCGTGGCCGATGTTATACGTTACCCTCTCTCTTAATCGTCGTACCCTCTTGCCGGGGGACCGTCAGCCTGTCCATCGCCTCCTCCGTGTTAGTCGTCGTTTGATCGTCGAGTCTTCTTAGAAACGCCTGTAACGCATCGATCGATACATCCTATGCGTTCTTATCCTCGAAGTAATACGAGGAGTTTACCTGAAGTTCCGAATCTTTTTCCATAAGTTGCGAACGAAACTTTTGATTCGCCATCGTAGCTTCTTTCAAACGTTCCTCCAGCTCGCTGACGCTCGAGTCCCGTCGCGTCTTCGACATTGGTCGCAGAGTGGCTCTGATACGTTTGTCTATCGCGCCTTGAGGATTTCTTCGTAGTTCTATGAGCTGACGTGGAAAACAAGCTCTTAGCTTATACGTCGCGAGATACGGGTCGGCCTAACGAGAGAATCTGCGTTTTGTCGTACCTTCGGTACGAATACCAGGCACAGGGTGGCCGTGCTGCAGAATATTATGAACACCGCCAACATAATGAACATTGCGTCTTGTTTGTCGGCCAGCACGAAGCTTATGGCTGCTCCGGTTACGCACATGATCACCACGTTGTAAACGCTCATTCCAACGTACTTGCTGTCGTTTAACGCCGGGATACTGACGTGTCTCGTTTCCCATGCTAAAAAGGCGCCGAATATCTGGAACGTGTGATAATCGCGTTATCATCGATCAGCGTCGCGTAGTCGTCACCGAAAAACCACTCGGTTCGTGACTGCCGCTTGTTAAGTTTCGTTTCGAAAGGAAATATCAGGGTGTGGGATCGATTGTTACCCCCTACAAATTACGTACCATTAACAGACCTTTGTACGCGTATATACACCCTAAATATACGGTCATTCGATTACTCTGACAGTACTCGTTCTCCGGTATTATGATGATATCTTCGCTGGAAGGATGAGGCTGAAAACAAGAGGAACGTTCGAGGAGTTTATCACGCGATTCACCTCCTGATCTCGTGTTAATACCCTACGGTTCGTCTCACGTACATAGGGTTCCATTTGTTTCGTTTCTCTATAGAACGGATCGGCGACTTGCCACGTGGTCATAATTCCTAGATCGATAAACAACAATACACCGACCACCATGAACAACTGATAATCTTTGATGACCTAAAAACGAGCAGATAGAATTCGTTAGAAAGGGTGTGGCGACCAGTGGCGAGAGAAAACGCTGGACAGATAGAAAATAATGTGTCACCTTCTTGTTGAGCTTAACGTCGGTGAAGATGGAATGTACCCGCCACGTTTTCGAGAACATGGAACCAAAGGCCAACGAGAAACCAGCCATCAGTAGCCATGCTCTGGCGGTGCATATGTAGGGAAATGCCGTTACGCTGGACAGCTGCGAATCTAACCCAAGGAAAATTACACTGCTGTAGGTCAGCATGCATCCGACGATAATGAGGTTGTTTAAATGCGGCGATGACATTTTTATGTATCTGAAACGTCGAAGATGACCGGACATGAGAAGAAAGACATGGGAATGCGGAGGACGGGGTAAAAGGGAGACCATATGCGCGATCGATCGTTTTATCCAGCGAAATTATTCCCGGATTTCGAGCGGGAGAGTGATTTATGTCTGTCGGTCGTTTCGATCGTGCGTCCGTGCGTTCTGTTCGTCTGACGCGACGCCGCTACCTTTCTACACCCTCTACACATTTCGCTTTCGATATGTCGAGCCAAAAAATAAAGAAGCGTGAGAAGAAGTGGAAATTCAAAGGAACAACCGTCTCTCGAATAATCACCTTTGATTTCTATATTTAATATTGATGGCGAGAAAAATGGCCGCCATGACGATACCCACGCTTGCCGCCGACGCGAGCACAGCGTAGATGGTAATATTTACAGTCGAGTGCTCGATGATGTGAAGAGTTCGATCTTTTGGCGGTGATCTGCCTCTCCAAACGAGAGGATCGCCTCTGGTTAGATCCAAAACACCGGTCACCCCGTCGAATTCTCCTACCTTAATTTCGCTGCTACCTGCGATAACAAAACGCGTACGAATATCGTCGACCTTACGTAGAATCTTTTAGCGTACTCACTTTGAAACTGCTTCAACAGAATGTAAGCTTTCCTTTCGTTATCGTAGAAACGTACAGGCCCCTGGAAAATCAACATCATAATCAGGCTGTGCGTAATCGTGATATCTTTATCGCGAATCGAAAGAAATGAACAATTCTCGTTAATTTTGGACGTTTTGTCGTTTTACCAATATTACCGACCGTCACACCCTCGAAACTGGTGTTTCTCAGCGCCTCGAGGAACAGCTTCTCCCAGAGCGCATCTCTGTATCTGAAATCCGATATAGTCTGATTGGGACGGTAGTGCCTTATTCTACGTGCCACGTGTTGTATGGCCAACGCGACCGCCCATATGCCGTCGTATGTGTATCCGTGAAACCTCGAGTAATCGCTGCCTCGTCTCGAATCGTATTCGACTCGATATTGATCCGGCGTCTGGAAAATATTCGATTCGGAAACGAAACAAGTGAATTTGCGAAGGAAATCAAAAATTAGCATTAAATTACTCACGATTCCAGATACAGTGTACCGTTCTTCCGTGGACAAGGGCAGAAGGTCCGTCAAAATGGCACCGTGCAGAGCTTCCGAGAGCTCGGAGGGATCGCAGCCGCCTCCGGATCGAAGCCACCATTTCTCCCCGTACGTTCCCATGATAACCCATTGATACTTTCTCCCGAACATACCGAACCTATAAACGCGATCGCTCTCGTTCAGAATTTCAATCGACTCGATATTGATCTACCGATCGCTTCGCTTACTTGTAGGCCTCGCAGAATATTCGTCTAGCCCAGACTTCGTTAAAATTGCCTAGAATTATCCTAACGTCCTTTTCCTTCAGCTTCTCGAGGGCGGAGCTCACCTCGGTGGCGAAACTTTGCGTCTCCACCACTTCCATTTTGTTGTCGTCCAGATCGGCGACCAGCCGATTGTGCGCCTAGAAATAAACGAAAGCTGTCGATACAAGCAAACCGGAGTGTCTTCGATTCGTTTGGTCTAACGATAAGGAGAATCGAAAGTACTCACCAGGGCGTATCTCGGTTCATTTTGATAAATTGTACCGACTCTGGTCCAATTGAAGTGTATCAAAAGGGCTACACGGGGAGCGTTGAAAGCGTTCTCGGAGGGTACCACCCTAAAGAAATTCGGGAAGCTGTTGCTCGTGAACATTGGGTGCGTGTCGGCGTAGCTAAGCTGTAACAGAGAATAACTGGCTTGGTTTCAAACGAATCTACCGAGAGAGATCGATCGTCTTTCGGCTCGTTAGCTTTCGTGGCGTTAATTGATGGAGCAAGTTTGGAAAGAAACGAGGGTCTTCTTCTTTGTTCGCTCACCTGCGTTAGACGCCAGTGTTTGGACGCTTTAGCGATGGGATCGGTGACGTGGGTGCAGGCTGCTCCGAACAGCATCACTTTGTGCGGTCCGCTATGCATCATGTCGAAAAACGCCTTCACTCCGACCGCGGTGTTGCACTGAAACAGAATCGTGTTTCCTCTATTTCATATTTTCGTGTTATTCGAGGGAAAAGTTTTCGTTCGAAGGAAACTCGAACGGAAAAGGGGTAAACGCTCGGCGAAACTTTCAAAGTTTTACTCAATTTTTGAATCTAGTTTCCGCTAGATAACGCTGTCTCTTGTCCTTTTGTACCCTACCATTTGTTGCAGCTCGACCTAGCCTATTTTTATTTACACGGTAGCGCATAGCAGCCGCATTTGCATAGTATGAACGTGCTCGCGTATATTTTACGACGAGACGCTCGAGCAACGTCAGAAGCAGCTCGGTAACAAATCCCGCGTGTCAAAGCGTGGCTGAAGCTTCCCGTTTCTGCATTGAGGATACTCGATGTCAAGCGAGAGCTTTCCCGAGTTAGAAACGGAAACGGAAACGCGAAGTTAATGTCCAACGATGGGAGCCGGTGCTTTCGCGAGCAACGCACTTTTCAACCTTTTCGCTCTTTTCCCTTTGGATCCGCGTTTGATCGGTATGGAATCATGGAAATTTTTTCGCGCGTACCAAGGTGCAAGGCGTTGAAAGATTAATCGTACGCTAAAAGTACCAATGTCAGAATGTAGGGCACACGGAATGTCTTATTTTCACTGGCCGCGGGAAATGTCGCAGCATTACCTCGAATAGTCTCTACGGTCTATAATTACAAACGCCTCTGTTTTCTGCAAAGTTGGAAACAGATAGGAAAGAAATTGGTCAATTCTCTATAAGTTTGAATAAACTTGAAATAAATAATTGCAAGCTTTGAGTGACCATTCGATATCTGCAATCCATAAAAATACACTGATTAAAAACAGTCTATCCGTTCTCTTTTTCATTCTAATTAACGCAATATATCGGTTTTGAATATATGTACCCTCGTTGATTTACAGCAACGATACGTTTTCACTCCAATTTGCGATGTTTTCATTTTTGTTTGCGAAGTTAATTAAAATAATTTTTAATTATTTGTAAATTCCCCGTGCATCTTAATTAATGAATAGTATTCGTTGAATGTTATAAAACAATAACAATGATAAATATAATATAAAAATTTACAATATATTCACATTTATTAATAAACTTCGATAGATATAATAGTGCATCAAATTGTTTGTTTGAATTCTCGCGGGGATTGGAGCAGCATCTACGCGTGGCTAGTTTCATTCGAACCGGCGGGGAGTGAGGACGTATCGGCCGATTGTGTTTACATAGACAGGTAAGTACGCATTTAAAATTCGACAAGTCGGGCATATTTTTGTGTATACGTTTACGTAATATATATACGCGAGTAATTAGTGCATTTAACTCGTATTCATTGTGGTATTTTATTGTGTTACAGAATTTTAACGCGTGGCCTGCCATGTGCGTCATGTGTCATGGCGTCATGCCTTACCGTTTCCCGCCTGTCAAGATGGATCACGGTGGCAGTGGTACAAGTCAACGATCGGTGAGTCGCATGTTTTACAATTATTCTTTATTCTTTATCATAATTACACGTATGCTCGATAGAATTGATTGAAAATAATAGTCTATAGACAAAATTCAATATGGCGTCAACCTAACCCCAGCGGCATGTCAAAACCGGTTTTGACATACCGTTGAGCTTTACTGCGCATAATGTTTGAACGAATGCATTTCTAAAGTAAAAGTACTTATTTCTTGTATTTCTGAACAAGATACCCGTTAATAATTGTTAAATAAATAAATGATTGTTCTTTGTATCATTGCATCTTAGAAACGGTAGCTGTCTTGCGGTTCCACTTGGAACAATAGCTTGGGCTTGTTCGAATCGTATTTGCCAAGTTAGTCGATAGATAAACGTAAGCGGAAGATATAGTGCGTGCACGTGACAGTCGCGCTAGTATATTGTATTTTGGATACCGCAATCGGCATATCGAGCTTTCGTAGATGTATGCGCACAAGGGAAATTAGCATCTGCCTGTGGATCGGCGCACAGGTTGGCCCAGTGAACTCGTTTCCAAGCATTTCAGCCTAACTCGTTGCTCTATTAATTAAACGTTTACGTTCGTCGTTTACTATCCATGCTCGATATATCGGCTTTTGTCGTCTCGCTGTTAACTTAGTTAAGCATTCTATTATCTCTTGGCCGTAACTTCTGTATCTTGTTGGCGAGGTTGCATGGCCGAGTCCTTTGTCCCCCAAATTATGGATGAAAATTTCGATTATTCGTGTGAATGGTAAAGATATCGAGCGATTCTTTTGAGATCGGTAAAGACTGTGATCGCTAAAGCCGTATATAGTAGTGTACTCGCCCAGCGTTATCTCCGCTCTCGCACGCGAATGTACAAGAGGATTAAGAACCGACTCGGTTCCATTATTTACTTTTATCGCAATCGCAGCTATTAATTTCGTCAAAGACCGCGGCAGCTACTTTCCGCAAACATTGAAACGAAATTGCGGTCTCTTAACAGAGCTACGCGAGACTTTCTTCTCGTTTCTCGACGGAAAATTTCCTCGTAGCCACGCACGGCACGAGTCGTGAAACGATAAAACCTTGTTAATATAGGATCGATTAGGATCGCGATCCTTTGGGAAATCCTTTCCGCCGCGCCGCGTTTCGCTATCCGTCGCGTCGAGTTTACGAAGCAGGCCAATCTATTGTGCGCGAACTATCAAAGTCAAAATTTCATTAGAAGTTTCGTGGCTCGAAATGAAATCAATGCTGTCGTCGTACACTCTGCCTTGTCGAAGTAAACTAATTGTAAGTAAAGAGACGTCGCGGAAAGAGTAGCGGAGATATACACGTGTCTCGTGCTCCAAATACAGTTAGCCGAATTCGATAAAATCTGCGATGTGTGATTTGAGAAAGATGGGAAAGTAGTAGAACGAAAGGGAAATGGCTGAGAGAAAACCATTCGTTTATCGTTGCTCGCTGAATTGAAGCAACTCGTCTAGCCTCCTCGTATTCTATGCATTTAGTTGTGAAAGTTTCTGGAAACGGAAGCAACCGGTATAATATTCTTGAATGTCTGTTTGCCGAGCGACGATCCGAGCGCAAAGGACCAATCTGAAAGCTCTTGCAGGCAAGTCTTTCGAACGATAGCGGCGGACTGTTTGCGCGAGAAACTTTCTCCCTCTTCGATTGCTCGAATTTCGCGAACATGACCCAAATATTTGTACGAGCGCGTGTACATCGAAGGAGTGGATCCTCGGTCGTATTGCAGATAGGCGGATCTGGGAAAGCGGTAAATTTAGGGAAACCACTGTCGCCCTGTCGCGTGCCAAGGTGCCGCAGCAATCCGATAATAATCGGAATGGTCGGTATTGCTTCGTCCGTAACCCGTTCGATCGGAAGTAACCAACTGTCCTAATCCCTCTTCTTTATTCGGAAATTTTCTTTTACGCGTTGCTTTGAACGCATCGCGATGCGACGATAACCTTCGGGATCGATCTCCGGGAGGAGTAACGCGGCTTTAGGAGACAAATAAAAATGGAATTGTTGAATGTTTTATTGGATCGTCAGGGTAGATAATTCCTCGTCTCAGACTGGCGTGCGAATGCCTTGTATCGTTCTAAGGAGTCTCGATCTATCATTAGCTGTCGCTATAATTTTACTCGACTCGTTTCCTCCTTTGAATTCCGACACGCTTCCCTTGCGAGCGTGGAAGGTTTTCAAAGTCTCACCGTGGTTCAGGAAGTTTGAAACGGTGCTCAAAAGTGGATGGAAACGAGGAAACGATTCGTCTAGGAAGTCGCGGAAAAATGACTGGCGTCGAACAGAGTTGTAGGCTCTCCAGTTTCCGTTCTCGAGGTCGCGGAAAAGTTTCACGTTTATGGTGTACAATCTAGTAACGGAGAACAGCGGAAAGTCGTAAAGTCGATCCGACGAAACGAGAGAGCGAACGGAAAGAAAATTGCTGGACGAGAGAAAATTCCGCGTTTATTCGTCGAGGAAGCTAATTAACGAGATTGGAAGCTCGTCATGCATCGCCGATAAATTTTCCTATTTCGTTGTTACTCGAGGAAAAAATCTTTGCGGCTCGGAGATCGTAAAGGTGTCCGGTAGTTATTCGTTCTTACGAATCTTTACATCGGATCTCGGTTCGCGTCTCGGGAAACTTGGATTCAATTACTTTAGGTTTCTTTTTCCGCGACAGCAACAGCGAAGAGATAAAAGGTATCAGGAATTACAAAAGTTTCACCGGCAAGCAGGAGAAAGGAATAAAAAGCAGGAAATTTGTTGTTTATCCGATTCAAAGAAGTAACTCGGTTCACTCGGGGAAAAAGGAGAATGCATCGGACTCGTTGGAAAAGAGGAAGGAATCCACTTGACGAACAGCGAAACGTCTGTGGAGAAAATATCGAATAATTTCGATGTTAACTAAGCGTAGCACGATTAAAATAATAAAATAATTTCCCGTCCAGCGTCTGTTTTAATCATCTCCTAGGAGATACCGATATCCGATATCTAGCCGCAAACTTTTAATTAAAAGTCCAGCGACTTTATATCAGCTAATTGAAAACTATAATCTCGGGATGTTGAGATAATTATTCCGGTTCTCTTTAACGAAACGCGAGAGACGAGAATCGAATTAGATCAGCCGGCTCGTCGAAGTTGCTCTTGTTGAAAACGTTATACCGAAAGTAGTTTCGTAAATAACTAACTTTGCGTTTTAAATCAAATTGGCTGAATAATTCGTCGAAGGAATTCGTTTGTAGGTAATTCTTGTCTTGAATGCGCGGTTACAGAATATCGACGGGGAATGAAAAATTTCGTTTGGAATCCCATTAAGGTCGAGTCGACTTGAAACGGAATCGTGGATTATTAACGAATTTGCGTGGGTGTTTGACATTGTTCCGGTTATATCTACCGATAGGTCATAGGTCATAGCCAGGTGTGCGCGCACGAGTACTCTCGACTGCTCTTCTATCCTCTATGCATATTTAAATGGTGCGCGCTGATAAATTCGAGTAACGACTGTTGCAATTCACGGTATCCTGCACCGCGTTCTCGAGTAACGAT